CATAATTTTGTTTCACGTCTCTATAGACAACAATAGCCACAACCTCCGAGATCAAAGACCTCACAAAAATCGAGCGCATAGGCAAGTTGCTTTCGTAATTAAACACCTCGTCTAGTTAATTCTCTAATTCGATTCAAATTTTAACAGGTGCTCACTCTCATGTCCGTGGCCTTGGTCTTGACAGTAACCTTGAGCCAAGACCAAACTCAGAAGGTCTGGTTGGACAAATACGAGCACGTAAGGCAGCAGGTGTAATATGCCAAATGATTAAAGACGGTCGAATTGCTGGACGTGCTGTCCTTATGGCCGGTCCACCCGGAACAGGAAAGACGGCTATTGCTATGGGTTAGTTTCATATCTATTGAAGGTTTTTAACACGTGGTTATACGCGATCGTAGAAGAGATTAATTAAGAGTTGGAAGACTGATTCGATTGCCTGGGACGATGATAATAGGAATGGCACAAACTCTGGGAAAGGACATTCCGTTTAATTCTTTAGCAGCGTCCGAGATATTTTCGCTGGAAATGTCAAAGACGGAGGCTCTCACTCAGGCGTTTCGACGGTCAATTACTGTAAGAATCAAAGAAGAGACTGAAATAATCGAAGGAGAAGTAGTCGAGATACAAATCGATCGATCGGTTACTGGGGTATGATATCGTTAAACAGACGTGTTTATGGGGTTGGTTACGCTTGTTGTCGCTGTTATCACTAGAAAGGTTAATTGATGTGAAAATTAACAGGGTACAAAAACGGGGAAGCTAACACTAAAGACAACAGATATGGAGACGGTGTACGATTTAGGAAACAAAATGATTGATGCTTTGAATCAGGAGAAAGTCATGGCCGGGTAAAACGAATAATTCTTTTAACGGGGGGGGGTTTATTTTTATTCGATTCGATCACACGAACTCTTAACGTGATTATCGTGTCGTTAATTTCCTATAGGGATGTAATAGCTATTGACAAGACGTCGGGGAAAATTTCAAAACTCGGCCGTTCTTTTGCAAGAGCAAGAGACTATGACGCTATGGGAGCTGATGTATGCGTTCAATTATGATTCAGGGGGGTGTCTGGGAGGTTCTCCTTGTTCGTTCTTGGCTTTCATTGATTGCATGAAGCTCCCCCCTTTTTTCAGACTAGATTTGTGCAATGCCCAGAAGGTGAATTACAGCGTCGTCGAGAAGTAGTACACACTGTAACATTACATGAAATTGATGTAATTAATAGCCGTTCTCAAGGATTTCTGGCGCTATTTTCCGGTATGAAAGCATTAATATCCTATTTACGTGTATTATGATCTTCGCGCTAACCCTCAATATGTAATTCAGGCGATACTGGTGAAATCAAGCCCGAAATTAGAGAACAAATCAATACCAAAATATCTGAATGGCGAGAGGAAGGAAAAGCCGAGATAATCCCAGGAGTACGTAAAAAACAAGATATACTTGTATCAGCATGATGCGAATTTGTGATCAGCTTGTTTCTAACTCTTATAAGCTTTGCCAAAACAATTAGGTTCTGTTTATTGACGAAGTTCATATGCTTGATATTGAATGCTTCTCATTCTTAAATAGAGCGCTGGAGGATGAACGCGCCCCAGTTGTCATTATGGCCTCAAATCGTGGAATAACAAGAATCCGCGGCACCAAATACAAGAGTCCTCATGGAATTCCGATAGATTTATTAGATAGATTGTTGATTATTGGTACAGAACCGTACAATGAAAATGAGATTCAACAGATATTGACTATTCGGTGAGTTTGGATTCAAATCGAACATACACTGGTGTCTATCAACGTTGCTAAACAATTTTACATGATTTCAATTATCAGATGTGAAGAAGAGGATGTTGACCTAAGTAATGACGCGCGTGATGCTTTGACAAGCATAGCACTCAAGACATCACTACGTTATGCCATTCAATTAATTACCACAGCGAATCTCGTTGCAAAGAAGAGAAAGGTACCAACAAAAACGCTCCCGTTCATGACGATTATGTTATCATACTCATGTCTATGCCACACAAATATGTACTGACCCGTATCCTACATCTCTTAGGCAACTCAAGTAGACGTTAATGACATACGCCGCGTATACGAACTTTTCTTGGATGAGCAACGTTCTGTTCAATACTTGCACAAACACCAAGAGCAATATATGTTTAATGAAATTATAACAGAGCCCGATAGCACAAGGGAAGAAGAAGCAGATGCAGGAGATCCCATGGAGACTTAGGTTAAGCAAATAACGTTGCGTGTTATAAATAGTATAGACAAAGTTTGACCAATAAAACGTGTATCCCCCGTATTCTATCTGTCAACAATCCGATTGTTCTCTGTTAGTCACAAAGAGTCCCTTAATTGAGTACGCGTAAAGAAATCATAACACTCATATATGATTATATCATTACAATTCTCCAATCTCTATAACAAAATACAACTAATGTATTGAATCCAAATTTTCATTGATTGGAATAAACTAATCCCACTGAAGATGCTGCGTCATGCTATTACTATGTATTGGGTATATATCAATCAACCTTACATTTATTTATCGTCACTCTCTTCTTTGTCTGCTTCCGCCTGGAGGCCTTTCCATTTATCATAGAGCTCTTTAACTGCATCTACATACAGCTGATTTCCAACTAACGTATTTAATCGATGTTCGTCATCAACTTCAATCAACTTTACGAGTTCCGGATCGCCCTTTGCCGCGAGTATTTGGCTCCCCTTAATATCGACGACAGCATCTTTAGTACCCTGTAGAGATAGAAACATGATCTATTAATGAAACGAACGCTGGTAAAAACAGAAATCAAATCAATCAGAATATATTATTAAAACTGTACATGGATAAATGTGATTGGGATATTTTTTGGAAGCCACAACTTTGCCGAATCATTTCGAGCATACATTGCAAATGCTTGCGCTAACAGCAAGGTCGGTCCAATCCATGTACCCTTTTGGAGCATAGTGACTGCTATTGCACCACCTTGAAGTTTTTCGATTGTGGGGGGAAGGGGAAAAGGGGAAATCCGTTAACTATAAAACTATCAATTACAGTTCAATCAACTCTCCCCTACCATATGAGCTTCCAATCACAACATCAGGTTTAAAAGTTTGTACAGTCTCTTCTTGCAAACTTACATCTGCCTCAAAGTCCATTGTTGGCTACCAATCGTAGGGGATCATTAACCAAGCTGTCTAGTCCGTCGAGCAAAAAAATAAAATAGATAATCGATGTTACCATATCAACAGCATGCACATTAAAATGCCCTCCAAGGAAACGGCATTTATCCGCTAGTGAGGAACTATATGAAAGAGGGAGAAGAAAGTTAGACGTTCATATAACTCTTCCTGCACGAATCGGTCAATAATTAATAAACCTGTTGCGACCATGGATGTATAAGACCTTGATATTCTTTAAAACATTCATTATTCAATCTCAATTTGAAGAGATCGAACATATAATATTAGTATCACGTGAGAAAAGTATAGAACGTGAACGCCAAACTTGTCGCTTTCATCATTTTACATTGTACTTTTTTTACTCGTAAAAATGGATATACGGAATATGTACTGTATAAGTATTGTTTTCACATAAAATTATTTTACTCAAAAACAGTCGCTTCTGACATGTAGATACGCGCGCTAACTCAACTAAAAGAAAATAAACATGTAGCCCCCGCTTACTCTTTTTCATAACGCTATTATTTGTAAGCGACTTCCAACTATTGGAGTTCTTATAGAAATAATTGATCAAAAGGCTAAACCACAAATAATAAGACGCGAAAATTGAAACACAAACACAGGATGTTTATGTTAAAGTTAAACTCATCAATAGCATTTAATATGATTAAAATCACTACTCACAATTGGAGATAGGGTGCGGGTTTATTAACTCCACTCAAGCTTCAATAAAATCTACTTGGTTCATTAGGTGAGTGTACATACAAATTGTACACAACATAATAAACAAGATTTTTTTTTCAACAAAGTATGTCTAATCGAAAATAATGCGCCGTACGTTAATTACAAACGAACTACAATTTGAAAATTTAATATGCTTAGTTCATTCTGTAATACATAAGGTACACTAATACTCAAGTAGCTAAAAGGCATATCGTATTCAATCATGTAAACCTTTGAAGTAAACTCGGTAATTTTAGTGTTTCTGTTCCCGTATATAGTATAGCCGGTATAAAAACCGGAAAGCGCGAATAAACTGTAAATAACCCGTGAATTATAAGTCTACTCAAAGAGTGTTTGAGTCGCTAAATTGCAAATAGTAGACAATGTTATTACTGTAAATTGACTGTATATTTATTAATAACCAATTATATACTATCGTCATACCTGCAGCTGAATCCAAATTACAGCTATTTCTTGGTTTAGGTAAATCTCCTGTAGGTAAGAGTGTGCTGGAATATTTACTCTCTTTCTCGAGACGTGATAACGGCTTTACATCATTATGATAAATGGCATTCCACACGTTGTCACCAGATTTATCCTCTTCCACATCTTTAATAAGCCTGTGAATTTCATTCCAAAGTGTCTCTCCATTCTTTGGACGCTTATCAGGATCAGCATCACAACACCGCTCGGCAAGTTTCTTGTATTCCTCTGGCGCAG